GTGGCGTGGGTGTCTACTGTTTGCTGTGAGGCTAGACGAGAAAGTCGGGCGTGTGCGGCTGGAAACTGCTGCTGGGTAGTAGGCAACTGGTGCTACATCTCCTTACGCATGGGCATATGGCTCACGTATATGGCGTGGAGCCTAAATACAACAGCCAGTGGCACATCAACCCGCTCGGTGTGTCCTCCTCCGCCACCACCGACCATAACCATCCCCCCCGTCCCCCGTCAACTATAGAACTGGGCGTGCTGCATTGGATGGTTTGCGGCTTGAGCAATATCAATAGAACATGAGGCTAATATCGGTAGCCTGTATATTGCTCAGGCTGGCCTATGGATGAGGCTGGCCACAAGAATAAGATGTGGTAGGCCATTCGAGACATGTGGAAGGTTGCTGAGGTCGGGCAAGGGAGGGTATGATGGCTCTGCGGGCTGCCTGTCATAGCCTGTGGATACAGGCTTGCAGATAGCCAAGTGGTCAAACAAGGTGTGCTGGTCCTGCGGGCTGCCTGTCAAAGATTGTGGATCCAGGCTTGCATATGAGAAGCATACACATTCTTTCTTATGGTAAGTAGAAGCTTCCTCAGTAGAGGAGTGAGTCACGCGAAGTGCAGAGTGCAGAATTGTATTTCGGCCTCCTCCTCCTCCTCCTCCCCCTCCTCCTCCCCCTGCCCTCCCACTCCTCCTCCTCCTCCTCCTCCTCCCCCTCCTGCTTCTTCTCCTCCTCCTCCTCCCCCTCCTCCTCCTCCTCCTCCCTCCTCCTCCTCCTCCTCCCTCCTCCTCCTCCTCCTCCTCCCCTCCTCCTCCTCCTCCCTCTCCTTCCTCCTCCTCCTCCTTCCTCTCGTTGCTCTTGTTGCACTGTTGTGTCCCAAGTCCACTCTAGGACCAGAAAGGGACACACAATATGGAAGACGGGCGACGGGCGACCCGCGAGTGCCCAGTCGGCACGTCATCGCCAGCGTCGTCGCCGTCGCGGTCGTCCCTTCCCTTCCCCCCCACCCTTCTCTCTACCCCCAGCCCTTCCCTCGAGAACTCGGCAAGCCGTGGCAGAACGTGCTTGCTCGAGCATTCTGCAAGCAGAGCCCTGGCTGTGACCATGGGCGCCCGTCGCCTGCTCTGCTGCTGGACGTGGGAGGATGGAGGAGGAGGAGGGGGATAAGTATAGAGGAGGAAAGGTGGAAAGGGGAGAGGCGAGGCAGAGCCAGATGCTCTCTGCACCTGGCTGGTCCTGGGCTGCGCTGGCCAGCCCCAGGCATAGCCTGCTCGCGATCCTTCTTCCCGCCCCACATCCTCCCCCCACCCACCCCTGCAAATGCACATCAAGCTCGGACAAGGGCAAGCCTGCTCCTGCATTCGGACTCTGGGGAAGGGAGGGAGGAGGCGCAGAGTCCCTCAACAGCTGCTGAACAGCCCGAGGGCCCTGTAGACGCACACACACACACACACACACACACGCACACGCACACGCACACGCACACAGACACGCACACAGACACGCACACGCACACGCACACAGACACGCACACAGACACGCACACAGACACGCACACAGACACGCACACAGACACGCACACAGACACGCACACAGACACACACACACACAGACACACACACACAGAAACACACAGGCACACACAGACACACACACACACACACACACACACGGACAGACACACACACAGACACACACACACACAGACACACACACACAGACACACACACACAGACACACACAGAGACACACACACAGACACACACACAGACACACACAGACACACACAGACACACACACACAGACACACACACAAACATTTTTTTTGGTCTGCGGGTACACACACACACACGCGGACAAATACTCGAAACTACCAACAGACTAGCTGTTCAGGGAGGGCCTTGGCCGGGACTACTCCATAGTTCCTGGACCAAAACGTCCTGACCGACCGTCCTCGTCCTCGTCCTCTCCCCCTGACCGTCCTCGTCCTCCTCCTCGTCCTCCTTCTCCTCGTCTTCCTTCTCCTCGTCCTCCTCCTCCTCCTCCGCCTTCTCCTTTTCCTCCTCCTCCTCCTCCTGCTCCTCCTCCTCCTCCCACTTTTCCCCTCTTTCCGCTTTCCGCTCCTCTGACGGCGGGCGGCCCCAAGAGGAACCACCGCAATCCACGATACACCACATTCACGCCAACGAAGCCAGACCTGGGACTCCACCCTGATCGATTACACGCCGCTGCTCCGAATCCTCCAAGCGGGACTCCCCTCTCTCGACCATGACCTCATGGACTCAGCCGACACTTCGGGGCTGGAGAGGGGGAGCCACGGGGCTCTCCCCTCCCCTCTCCCCTCATCCTCATCCTCCTCCTCCTCCTCGTCCTCCTCCTCCTCCTCCTCCTCCTCCTCTTCCTCCTCCTCCTCCTCCCCCTCCGCCTCCTCCCCCTCCGCCTCCTCCTCCTCCTCCTCCTCCTCCTCCACATCGCCCCCCTCATCCAGACGCGGCGCTGCGGGCGGGACGTACAGCTGGCAAGTCGGGTCCGCCAGGCCCGCGAACCTCCGGGTTTGGGTGCGGCGCTCTGGTGCGACTGGCGCAGGCTGGAGGAGGAACAGGAGGCCCGAGGCATGTGCGCGGAGGAGGGGGGGGGGCAGGGGGTCGTGTTGAAATCGAATGAAGGGACCACGAGTTCAGAGAGATTTCGTGGCCCCGACTAGACATGCAAATACGTATCGTCACAGACAGACAATACTCATCTCCCGTTTCGACGCCACCGATGTCTGTTCCCAGACATGCAACGTCCTGTTCCCAGGGCCAAGCGAGGGCCCCCAGCAGCCGAAAACTGCCAACCACCTTCTGTCGCGACGTTTTTCACGACGCGAGCTTCTCTGGGTCTTCGACGCCCCCGATGTCTGGTGTTTTCCGCCTTCTTTCGGCGGCGAGCGAGTTGGGCAAGTGAGAAGGAGAAGGCCTCCTCAGAAGGCGGCAGGACTTCTCAGACGCCCTCGAGCCTTCCGAGAAATGTCCTGTGTCTTCGGGGAAGGCCTAGACCATCCCTCAGAAGGCCAGGGACATTCCGAGCTTTCTGGGGAGGCCTTCTCCTTCTCTCGGGGGGGAACGAAAGGGTAGGGTAGCGAAGGGCAGGGTCGAGAATGAGCTCACGTAGCTTGTTTCCCCGGCGCCTCATGGCGCCGGGAGGCGCCCCTGTATCGAGGAATGTGCCCGGCGGCTCGGCCGAAACCAGCTGCACGCAGCAGATTTTCAAGTCCCCATTTTCCCTACGTATCCCCCCCTTTCGTTCGGCCCGATTCTCACTTCCCCCCGGGCTCGCCGTCGCGGCTGAACTGGGGACGCGGAGGGGGGGGGGGGGGGGGGGGCAAACCTGGGCGTGAAAACCGCTGCTGCCGCTTCGCGATCAGAGATCGGGGGACCCCATTGGGCCCGCACTAAAGGTCACTCCGGCGAAAGACCACTCTTAAATGCAATCGAGAGAAGACCTTCTCCTTATCACTTCCCCCTGGGCTCGCCGCCGATTCTTCGGACCTTCAGGGGACGCCCTCGGCGCCAAGGCCGGGCCTGATCCGAAATTCTGGCCGGGGAGCCCCCAATGATCACGGGTGACGAGGTGGGAATCCAGTGGCGCGGGCGCGCGGCGGGCACGGCAGCGAGGGTCGAGGAGGGATGGAGGAGGAGGAGGAGGAGGCGGAGGAGGAGGAGGAGGAGGAGGAAACTGAGGCGGCGGAGGAGGAGGAGGAGGAGGGGAGGAGGAGTAGGAGCAGGAGCAGAGGAGGAGGAGGAGGAGGAGGAGGAGGAAGGAGGAGGAGGAGGAGGAGGGAGGAGGAGCAGGAGAGCAGGCGATGAGGGATGATGAGGAGGAGGAGGAGGGGAGGGAGGAGGAGGATGAGGATATGATGGATGATGAGGATGGAGAGAGAGAGGAGGAGATGCGATGATGATGATGATGATGACGATGATGATGATGAATGATGATGATGATGATGATGATGATGATGAGGATGCTGATGATGATGATGACGATGATGACGATGATGACGATGCTGATGATGCATGATGCTGATGACAAGGAGGGAGGAGGATAGGAGGAGGAGGCGAGGAGGCGGAGGAGAAGAAGAGGCGGAGGAGCGGAGGAGGAGGATGAGGAGGAGGACGATGAGGAGGGAGGAGAGAGGAGGAGGAGGAGGAGGAGGAGGAGGAGGAGGAGGAGGCGGAGGAGGAGGAGGAGGGAGGAGTAGGAGGAGGAGGAGAAGGAGCAGGAGCAGGAGCAGGAGGAGGAGGAGGAGGAGGGAGGAGGAGGAGGAGGGAGAGAGAAGGAGAGGAGGAGGAGGAGGAGGAGGGGAGGAGGGAGGAGGAGGAGGCGGAGGAGGAGAGGAGGAGGAGGAGGAGGAGGAGGAGGTTGAGGAGGAGGAGGAGGCGGAGGCGAGGGGATGAGGATGGAGGATGATGATGATGATGCTGCTGCTGCTGATGATGATGATGATGATGAGGAGGAGGAGGAGGAGGAGTGAGAGGAGAAAGAAGAGGGAGATGAGAAAGAGGAGGAGGAGGTGGGAAAGAAGGGGAGTGAGTGAGTTACTCAGACGCTCCACATAGCAGATCCTTTACCTGGCTAGTGAAACTGAAAGCTCAGCGTGCTGGCACCTGATTTTGCCGCCGAGGTGAGACAGGAGGCGGAGGCAGAGGGAATGCAAGAACTGCCAATCCCTGGAGCCTCCTGGGTCGAACATCTTCGCCCGCCCAGTGTCCCAGCGAATCACCCTGCCCCTAGCACTACGACTCAAGTCTTGCTACTACAGCTGTTTGGGGAAAGCCACTGGCGACGCTGGCTCGATATCCAGTCAGCACCTTGCTCAAGAAAAGGGGGAGGAGGAGGAGGTGGAGGACGAGGAGGAGAAGGAGGAGGAGCAGGAGGAGGAGGAGGACAAGGAGGAGGAGGAGGAGGAGGAGGAGGAGGAGGAGGAGGAGGAGGATTAAAAGGAGGAGGAGGAGGAGGTGAGGAGGAGGAGGAGGAGGAGGAGGAGGAGGAGGAGGAGAGGAAGGAGGAGAACGGGGAGGAGGGATGAGGAGGATGGGGAGGAGGGGGGATGCTTCTGTGGTTTTCGTGGCCGCAGCCCGCAGCAGCAACGTCGAGCGCGTGCAGACCGCTCAACACAGAGTTTTTGGGATCGCTTGAGATCGCAGAGATGCCGCCCGTGAGAGCGCACAAGCCAGTCCGCAACAGACCGGGCAACACGCTCGAGGAACAACATGGAGAGACCCCAAACTCGGTGACGGGTTTGAACTGACTGGTCAGGGCGGCTATCAGCAGTGGCTGCCAGACGCGCGTGGCCGCCGCCCGCCCGCCCGCCCGCCTCAACTGCGACATCAGCAGCGGCTGCGACACGCCCGTGGCCACGCAGGCGGCGAGGCATGCCGCGAGGCGGGCGGCGTGGAGCCCGTCGGGGCGGCCGCGCTGCCCGTCCAGGAGCGGCTCCGCCAGGCTGGCGCCGGACGCTTATTTGTCACCTCTGCTCCCTCGGCGGCGGGGGAGGAGGATGTCCCTCAGGTGCCACATAACTCGCCGTCGCTCGGACGTCCATTCCCGTGAGATTTCGGTTTCGTGAAGATCTCCTTCGCGCGATGATCCAATATTCTCCTCGATTGTCCTCGCCGAGAAAGAATGCACATGCCCGAGCGATGCCAAGATCCGCGGACCCGAGGTACTTACGGGGGGCCCGAATGACTCTATGAGAGAGCAGGGGCCACCTGGGCATGCAAAGAATCTTCAGAGGGATAGGCGGTTCCAGCATCACACCAACCCGCAGCAAAAAACGACGGACCGCTCCAACAGGCGGAGGATATCGCCGCCATCCAGCGTTTCTGGTTGCCGCGTTTTTGTTCGGACCCTCTGGGGGCGCCCACGTCGCCGTGACCTGATTCGCCTCGGAGTCCTGGTCGGAGTGGGTGCAGGTCAGGGGGGCCTGAAGACTTTGCGACCTTGGGGCTGTTTCTGTGGACGCCGGGGGCCTCCATAGTCTCCGGGAACCGCGGAGGGCCTGTGGGGACCTTCTACACTTGGGACCGATTGCGTACACGTCGGTTGGAAGAAGTAGGTAACAAAACATGAAGTAGGAAGGCGGATCAAGTAGATTGGGTCCAGGCCCGCCCAGATAATAAGAAAACACAGCAAACTCTTATCGATTATTGAAGTAGGAAGGCACTTGAAATATATTCGGATCTGGGAACCTAGAAATACCTACGTTCAACGACCGATTGCACAGGACGCCCGTGAGAACAAAGCCTCTTCCAGGGGCAACTCATGCTCCAAACACGAGGGCACGGAACGCGACAGGACTCTGGGCTGCCCTGGAAGTTACAGGGTCGACCTGCGAATCGGGCCCAGCGGTAGGTCAGCCGTCAACCCTTCGCACGCGAAAGTGTCCGAGGATAGGACTCCGATAATTCGGTTTCGTTTGTTTTGTATTCTATGCCTGTTTGGGCCCCTCGGCTTGAAAACCTGGCCAACCAATATGTGCTGAAAGTCACCGAGCTTCGAGGTTATCGAGTATTCCCCCACCCGACAGGTTGGGGTGGTTAGATTTAAAAAGAAACGAGCTCCGGACCCGCCTAGCACACCTTGCATACCGGGGCCGCCAGGTCCCAAGGGGCCCAATGCTCCCTGGGGATTCCAACTCGGGTTCTCGGGTGGGGACCGCTCGATGCAAAACCACTTCGCGCATGTTTGAGATAATTCCCGACCTAGGCTCTGCCTAGAAAGGTTCTTACTCGCTTGGCTTCAAGGGGCCGGGCAGTGCAAACCGCCCCGGGCGGTTCCCCCAGTCCCCTGGGAGCCAAGCGACAGCAACAGCAAAGGTAACAGCAAACGCGCGGTCCCCCCAGTTGCGCTCCCTGGGTGCCAAGCAAAAGCAAAAGCAAAGGCAACAGTGAAGGCAAAAACGAAGGCAAAGCAAAAACATCGCATAGCATAGCATCACACAACATAGCATAGCATAGCGCAGCATAGCATAGCGCAGCCTCGCATAGCATAGCTTAACCTAGCCCAGCATAGCATCGCGCAGCATAGCGTAGCATAGCAGAGCATAGCAGAGAATAGTGTAGCGCAGCACAGCATCCACTGTTGCTGCTGCTATATATGTATATCTATATATATGTACTTATATATATATATATATATATATATATATATATATATATATTATATATATATCTATATATATAGGTATCTGTTCTTCCGAGGAGCTCTTTCTCCTCAGTGGCCAGACCGAAGGTTTGATCTGTGTGCTTACTGGAGCCTAGAGCGCTAGACGAGAGGACGCAATCAGGCGCCAGTCCTCGAGACCGGCAGCAATCAGCACAACACCTCGCGTAGATTTTGCTCCGCGGGTGGGCAAGGGAGGGAGCTTGAGCACAATCGGTTGCGGGCGTGCAGTGACGCGCGGCCCCCTCTACCCAAGGCGCTCTCAGAAAATATTCACATGCGCGCATTGCCATCTGTTCTTTCGAGGAGCTCTTTCTCCTCAGTGGCCAGACCGAAGGTTTGA